TTTCCTTTCCTTTCCTTTCCTTTCCTTTCCTTTCCTTTCCTTTCCTTCCCTTTCCTTTCCTTCCTTCCTTCCCAGTTGTCAGAATGCTGTATTGCAGACTAACTCTGCCAACTGTCAATAGTTTGATCCTGACTTGCTCAAGGTTGACTCAGCCTTCCGTCCTTCCGAGGTGGGTAAAATGAGGACCCAGATTGTTGTGGGGGCAAGAGGCTGACTCTGTAAACTGCTCAGAGTGGGCTGGAAAGCACTGCAAAGCGGGATATAAGACTAAGTGCTGCTACTCTTACGGACCAAGCAGGGAAAAAGTAGGAAACCGCAAGCCATCTCAGCTTCTTTCCAACCTAAAATCAGGGGGTCCTTTGCAAATTGGGGCGTCTGCAAATAGGGTGGGGGAAAAAAACCGACAACACTGGTTACAACATCACTGTGTGATTTACCTGTGGACATACTGGAGCTGGTGGAGGGAATGGATGGCCAGGACCATCTCGGCTAGGTAGAAACAAGCCATGTCTTCTGGCAGCCGGTCCTCAAACTTGCTCAGAAGGGTGAGTAGGTCTCCTCCAGCATAATAATCCATCACCAGGTACTGTTAAAAAAAAACCTGCCAACTTCTAGCATCCCTCCCCAACCTGCGTTCTGCAGGTGAGGAGGACTTCCACTCCCAGAGCTCCCCAGGTGTTTGCTGAGAATTCTGGGAGCTGAAGTCCACACCTTCCCTGAGGTTGGGGAAAGGGGAGGTGAAGACGGAAGCCTGGGTGGCCCATTCACCAAATTAATGGATCCCGTTTCCCCCGAGTTACAGATAATGGCGGTTTCCAAGAACTGGGAATGGAAGTCTGCCCGTCAACACAGCTGGACGACGAATTCTGGGAGCGGAAGTCTACCCAGCTGTCCAGATTGAGAAAAAACTGGTGAGGAAAATGAGCCATGGCCTGCTCAGGTTTCTAGTCCACTGTGAGGAAAGATGCTACAAACCAATTTTGATGGCGCTCAGTCGTTGCTAGATTTACCAAGGCTATGTTCTGGCAAAGACAGACCAAATTTTGGGGAGCAGGGCATCAAGAAAAGCCAGCATCTCCCTTTTTATTTGTTTAGCTGAATGCTAGAATTGTGAAGCCGTGTCCAATGGGTGACAGGTGAATTTTCTGAAATTTTGCAAAGAAACAGCAATTTTTCCATCCCTTTTAGCAACACCTGAACCCAGCACCACAGATGCTCCTGACTGAAAGGGTTGGGCTTGAGAGAGGACTGTATCACTGAAGAGAAAACATTCTCCCTCATATTCCATCACGGGTGCACACACGCATATCCTCGTTCACACGTAAACCTCACAGCTAAATCTCCATGCTAGCAAGATGCAAGCAACTAGTTGAATGCACCTCTTTCCACCCCCTCTAATTTTTTATTTTATTCCAAAAAGATTAAAATGCAAAACCCAAAAGGGGAGGAAAAAAAAACTTTTGACAAAGGCAAAACAAAACTGGACAAGAACATTAAAACATGGGAATTAAAAAGGACAAAAACCCAAAACCCTTATTATCTCTCCTAGCTGAACCTTAACAAATCTATTGCAACAATCACAGCTCCCTTCCTCCTTCTGAAATTTTACAAGCTTCTACCTCTATTGCAGGGGTCGTCAACCTTTTGGACCTCAGGGACCACCAAACTCATCATTTTAAATCCCGCGGACCAGAGACCCTGGGAAAACCGCCCAAAAGTCTGCAGGAAAATTCCCCACCCCGGTTTCCTATCGATCGATCATTCTTTATTTGGGATCGCAGGATACCGTCTCCAGCTCCATTCTCAGGGGGAGAGAGGAGAGACTTTTGGCTTCATGCAAGGAAAGCAGCAGAAGCAGCAGAAGTCTTTCTTTCTCTCCTCCAAACTCCGCCAGAAAGGAGTCTTTGTCGGCGCAGCCTCTTGGAGCAGGAGGCCTTGCAGGGTCCCAAAGACTCATTTCTGGCGGATTTTGGGGGAGAGAAAGAAAGACTTTTGCTGCTTTCCTTGCGTGCAGGAAAGCAGAAGAAGAAAGAAGTGGAAAGAAGCAGCCCGGTGGCCAGGCGAGGCGCGTGGGGTGAGTGGGGCAAGTTCCCCCCCATCCCCCCTTTCCCCCCCTCCCCTCACTACCTCGTGTTGTTCGCAATGCAAGCGACGCAAGCCTTGTGTTCCCGCGGGCCATGTGGGCGTCGCAACCTTGTGTTCCTGCACAGCCTGGATTAATTGCTTTTAGGGGTGACATTTCTCTGCGGTCCACCAAAATTTTCCCACAGACCACCAATGGTTCCCCCCCGCCTCCCAATTGGCGACGACTGGTCTGTTGGCGCCCGATACTCCTGATTCACACAACACACAAAACCTGTGACTTGGAACTCAGCCTGGATTTAGCATGTCATGTGAACGGAGGGAATCCGGTTTGCAAAGCAAACAACGGACTCAAGAGGCTGAAATGGGGCCAGGAACCATTGTACAAAGCACCCCATTCTCTGTTCGCCTCGTTCCCCATGCTCCGCCCCAGAGATGGAAACCGCCAAGGCCGGTTTCCCAACAGACCGACATCCGAGAGGAAACCCAGTTCGAAATTTCCTGCATCTCGACTCACCAGGTAGTGCTCGTCCTGGAAGGCGTAATGCAACGTGGTAATCCACTGCCTGTCACCATGCACGAGGACATCCCTTTCCTCTCGAAAACAAGCCGTCTGGAAAGGAGACAGGAGCAGAAGGGGGCCCTGGGTTCAAATCTCAGCTTAGCACATCTGAGACCTCTGCTATCCAGGTGCAGAAAAAGCGCGCCGATGGCTCCTCGCCTTACGATCACAACTGGGACCGGAATTCAGGTTGTAAGCCAAGTGTGGCCATAAGGCGAGGACCATTCGCTGCTAAGTGGCATGGTCGTTAAGCAGGACATCATGTGGCTTGCAACCTTCCCCATTGTCTTTGCTTTGTCAGAAGAATCTGGTTAGGAAGGTCACAAGCACTATAAAGTATCGACATGAAAGCAATTCATGAATAACCTTAATGAATAGAATCACTTTAATAAACCCTAATTTTAAAAATAATTCTTAGGTCCTTGGTTAGGATTTGAACGATTCAGTGTTCACCTGATTGTGAATCTAACTGTTCATTGCCCACAATAATCATAATTTACTCAGTGTACATGCCACGGACTCTTCAACGACACGGCATGTCTCACAACCAAGAAAGAAATGACAATAAATTTAATCTGGATTAAAAGAAGAGCAGCGTCTGTGTGTTTGTGTTTGTGTGCAAGCCAGGGTTGAGGTGCCCCCTTTCCCCGCATCTTTCTACAACCAACCAGCCCATCTGACGGATAAGAAAGTTTCTGGATTTAACGAAACGAAGGAATCAATGAAAATTAGAGCTGAATTAATGAAAGATTAGCGGCTGGAGATCCCACAAATGGCCCAATTTCATATCTGTCATGTTCTTAACAATAGCACAAAAATGGTTTAATGCCGCTTTTCTCCAGCTGCTTTTCCGGGCTAGCCTAGGGATCTCCTGGTGGTCTCCCATCCGAGGATCTACCCCTAACTTGTGGAGATCACTGGCTTGACTTTGGCAAATGGGATCCCAAGGGAATCGTCACCTCGGTTCTCTTCAGCATTTCCCACTTGTGCAGGATCTTCATGGCATAGATTTTCTCCGTCTGCTTCATCCGCACGACGGCCACCTGGGAGGAGAGAGAGGAGCGGGGGGGGGGGGGGCCCTTAGAATAAGAACACGGAATCATAGACTAACTGAGCCGGAAGGGGCCTTGTGGGGTCATGTAGTCCAACCCCTTCCTCAAACAGGAGACCCTGTCCCACTCTGGACAAATGGTTGTCTTGAAGACTTCCAGTGATGAAGCTCCCACAACTTCCAAAGGCAACTTCTGTTCCCCTGGTTAATTGTTCTCCCTGTCAGAAAATTCCTCCTTATTTCCAGGTTGAATCTCTCCTTGTTCAGTTTCCACCCATTATTATTCCTTGTCTGGCCTTCGGGTGCCTTGGAGAATAGCTTGAGACCCCCCCTTTCTCTCTGTGGCAGCCCCTCAAATATTGGAAGGCTGCTCTCCTGTCTCCCCTGGTCCTTCTCTTCCCTAGACTAGCCAGGCCCAGTTCCTGCAACCATTCATCGTATTTTTTAATCTCCAGGCCTTTGATCATCTTAGATAGATCCAGATTAACAGTTGGAAGAGACCTTGTAGGTCATCTAGTCTAACCCCCCCACCCAAGCACGACACCATGGTCCTTCTCTTCCCTAGACTAGCCAGGCCCAGTTCCTGCAACCGTTCATCGTATGTTTGAACCTCCAGTCCCCTCATCGTCCTGGTTGCTCTTCTCTGCACTCTTTCCAGAGTCTCAACCTCTTTTTTAATAGTGTGGTGACCAAAAGTGGATGCAGGATTCCAAGTGTGGTCTTACTAAGGCTTTAAAGAGTAGTTACCTCCCTTGACCTCGATTGTATCCCTCTGTTAATGCAATTTAGGATTACATTGGCTTGTTTGGCTGCTGCTGCTGCTGCACACGGCTGGCCTCCTATTTAGCTAGACGTAGCCGGTTTCTGCAACCGTTCTTCATATGTTTTGGTCTCCAGGCCTTTGCTTGTCCTAACTGAACTTTTTCCAAAGTCTCAGGAATCTTTGCTCTATTGGGGTAACCGGAATTGGACACAGAATTCCATGTGTGGCTTGATCAGTGCAGTATAAAACGGTGCTAGCACTTCATGTGACCTTAACACAATTAACAATTAACCAGTGAGTAATTAGCCGGTGGAACAGGGGCTTCATCACTGGAGGTTTTGAAGAAGAGACTGGACAGCTACTGGCCTGGAATGGCAAAGAGTCTCCTGCCTGAGCAGAGGGTTGGACTAGAAGACCTCCAAGGTCCCTTCCAATTCTGTTATTCTGATAATATCCCTCTGTTGATGCAACCTAGGAGTTTTGCTTCAGTGGACCCAGATTCTAGCCCCTCTGCAAATACCCCAAACACCAGCAGTGGGAAGCTCTTGGTCAGTGTTTCCGCTTAGGACATTGTGTGAACCCAGCCAGATCGAATGCACAGTCCAAGGCCAGAATTGAAAAATGTGTTTATGGAGTACAGGGAGTTCTCAAGATATAACATCAATTTTTTGCCCGTATTTCTGTTGCTAAGCAAGAGGGTTAAGGGAATCGGGCAGGTATATATTTCTCTCTCTGGGCACAAGGAGAATGTATCTGCTGTGAACTCCGTGCTGGCAACAGGAAAAGCATCTGGCCAGTAAACGCTCCGCTCCATGAAGCTGCCCCGACTCTAACCCAATACAACGGATTATGGGATCATTAAAAGACAAAAAAAAAATGTTGCAAAGCAAGATGATTAAGCGAATCAGGCCTGAAGTTAATTTTTATTTTTGCCCCGGTTGATAAGCAAATCACTGCCATCATTAAGTGAAACATCCAGTCGTTAAGTGAATCCAGCTTCTGCTCATCGCTTTGCTTGTTGGAAGCTGGCTGGGAAGGCCATAAATGGCCATCTAGGATAATTCAAATGTCATAAATCATTGGCTAGTTATGCCCAAATTTTGATCATGTGACCACGCGGGGGGGAATGCTGTGGCAGTCATAAGTGCGAGGATCATTATTAAGTCACTTTTTTGTCAGTTCTGCAGCAACTTCGAACGGTCATTAACGGATAGTTGTAAGTTAAGGGCTTCCCGTAATACAGGTCAGGCTGTTGTGGGAATGCGAGGCTCTTCTGATGAAGCTCAGGGTACCCCAAAGTGCCTCCTGAGCCAGCCTGTGGCTTTAAGCCCCCCCCCCCTCCCCCATTTCTGGGGACTCACCTCCCCAAAGGCTCCTCTGCCGATCACCTTCAGGATCTCAAAGTCGTCACGACGCAAACTCAGCTGTTTTGCCCGGGAAACCAACGGAGAGGCTTGAGAGAAAGACATTAAAAGAAAACGAAAATAAACTTGTTTTATGGAGTCATTCGCCACAACGGCACCAGCGGAAAACCTGCTGAACAGGATGCATAAAACCAGCCGTTCTGCGTGTCAAGCTCGATCCGTTTTAAAACGTGGTTCATTTTCATTTTATTGTTTTCTTCTGTAGCCCGTTTGGTGCTTGGATGATTTGCGGGCAGCCCGAAGAGAGTGAATGCTGCACTGGCATAGGGAAACTGCCAGGCCCGGCTAAAATACGGGGGTTTCCTCCTAATTTTTACATGGGTTTTTTTAAAGCATTGCCTGTCGTCCCGTCCCCCAGCCCCGCATGATTAAAAATATTCATTCATAAACATTTTAGAATACAGCATTTTTGTCAGAGCATACTGTTCACAAGAAACAAAACCATAGCTAATACTATAATAAATATTAACCCGTTAACTATTAATATTAATAACTAGCTCTGTACTCTCTAACTCTGTGATTGGGCTTAGTTTTGGGGGAGGAAAATAAAGGGGGAAAATTCTGCCTCTGCCTACCAGCATCCATCGGTATTCATCTGGCTAGCGTCCTGTCACTGTGTGAGAGAGTTGAGGGCTGTTTGGAAACTGAAAGAGTATTTGCTGTGTGAGCAAGAAGGAGACAGCAAGGAGCCTGGGCGTGGCTTAGCTCAACTGTTCTGTACTAAAGCTGCTTGGTGCTGTGAAACTAAAAACGAAACTGAAACTCCTCTCCTCTGCTTGTGTTTTGCATTTGGAAGAGGTTTCTTTTCAGGTGGGGAGGGGGAGTCGAACTCCTTAGCATCAGAGCGTGTTAATCAGAATAATATAGGAAATACTTTAAATGCTCTGATGGTCATTTGGAAAAATCTTTTCTTAGTGAGCACCTAGAAGCCAAGAGGAACCTACGTACCAAATTTCAAATTTGTAGGCTTTACGGTTCTGGAGATTTTGTCATGATGCATGAGGGGTATTTCGCTTTTATATAGATATAATAATAACACATACATTCATAGCTCTAATGATATTATGATAGCTCCCATATAGTATAATAGATTTCTTTTTATGCTTAACTCATTCATATTTTAGTACCTATAGCAGCTATAGTTATAAACCATCTGTTTTAAATACATACATTCATCATTTTTCTTCCTCTAACTTCTATCTCTTGTCTTTAACCACTTGTGGAATCTATTCCATATCAGGTAATATTCTGAGTCTTCTTTCTTCTTTATTTTTAAGGTTAATCTGTCCATCTCAGCACATTCTAGAATGTTCCTAATTACTTCCTCATCTGGCAGGGTATTCTCATTTATCCAGTATTTTGCAAAGTTAATCCTTGCTGCTGTCAATATATGTAAAACTAAACAGTTCCTTTACCATAACCCCCTGGGATTATTATGCCCAGCAAATATACTTCTGGTTTCCAACCTATAGTTATTTTTTTTCCAGCCAGCTACTTTTCTCCCAATATTTTTTTTTCTTTTGGTGCAAGTCCACCACATATGAGAGTAAGTCCCTAGGTTATGGTTATATTTCCAACATTTTGCAGACAAAATGTCTGCCAAAGCTTTGTCTGCTTGACGTCATAAAGATAACCTGGTTATTGGATGTTCTGGCCTCACACAAATGCAAGACCCAGCTCTTCAGACGAACCAAGCAATATGGAACGGCTTTGCTTGTCGCTTTCTTCTGGTTTGTTTTCGCTTTTGTGGAATACCCAGCCTAGCTGAATATCCAGGGGATTGCCTGGTGGCCTTCCCTCCTAACTCGCTTTCAATTCTTAGCTAAATCTAAAGCTGCAAAACAAAGGGTTTTTCTCAACCTTGGCAGCTTTAAAATGTCCATGCTGGCCGGGGAATTCTGGGACTCGAAGTCCACCCATCTTGAAGCACCCCGGCCAGGGAATTCTGGGAATTGTAGTCCATCCTTCTTAAGGCATGCTGGCTGGGGAATTGTGGGAGTCAAATTCTGCACACTTTAAAGCATGCTGGCTGGCAATTCCGGCAGTTGATGTCCGCAGCAGCAGTGGGATCCTACCTGATCCACTACCGGTTTGGTGATCGCGCGAGTGTGTGCGCGCGCACCTAACACACGCGCACCTAATGCACGCAGCTTTCCCCACACCAGCTGAGGCCTGCAGTGCCGATCAGCTGAGAGGATAAAGGGCCAATCCTGCATTTTTCTCTTCTTTCTCCTCTCAGCAGATTGTTGGAGGCTTTTTTAAACGATTGGTTCGGCCCAACCGATAGGAATTTTTGCTACTGGTTCGACTGAACCGGGCCAAATGGGTAGCATACCACCACTGGTGCGCACTGGGGAATTCTGGGAACTGAAGTCCACTCATCTCCAAGCGGATGAGATTGAATAAACCTCGCTCTAACCACTAGGCCCTGGGGTTTTCCCAAAAGCTGGAGTCTTGCCTACTGCTCTCCTTTCTCCCCTGGGAGATGCTGGAAGCCCAGGAGCCGCGGTGGGAATTGTGGTGAACCAACCCATCCTCCGCCCTGGGCAGCCTTGCGTGTCCCGTCCCGCCTGGCTTGGTGAACCTGCTCCGACATCCAGGAGGCAGCCACCTCCCCACCTCCCTGATTCCATCAGAGCATGAAAGCCACTGTTCTTTTGAGAACCACAGCTTTGCTGGTTGCTATGGGGGAAAAAAACAACAACCCAAGGTTCTAGTCCTTAAGAGAGCCCCCAATGGGCCAAACCGCATTCCCAGAGGAAAGGTGAGGAGACCTTCATCACTGGAGGCTTTCAAGAAGAGTCTGGACTGCCCCCTGTCAGAAATGGTGCGGGGTTTCCTGCTTGGGTGGGCGGTTGGACTGGATGACCTACAAGGTCCCTTCCAACTCTGTTAATCTACGTACCTCTGGGGCCTTTGGGAGTTTCCTTGGCAAGTTGTTCAGAAAACCAACTCGGCCCCTTGGTTTGCGCCTTTCCCAGGTGAACAAAATGCACCCATACAGCCATTCCTGCCAATTGAGTCAGCCAGGCCTCGATAACACAAGGCAAGGGTTGGGTTTCAGCCTTAAGATGTGTGGACTTCAACTCCCAGAATTCCCCAGGCAGCTGTGCTTCAAGATGGGTGGACTGAGGGATTCTGGGAGTTGAAGTCCACGCACCTGTGGGAGATTTCCCCCATTTGCAGGTTCAGCTCCTGAGAAGAAACGAATCTTCGGCTTTTAACCCGCCACGCAGGGAAGGATCCAGGATCCCTGGTTTTCAATGCAGGTAGTCCTTGGACTTACGACTACATTTTAATCATTTATTTATTTAACATCCACGCTCTCCCCCCCTCCGCCCCCCCAGGTCTCACCAAAGGCAACACCCGGCGGCTTAGAACCATTCCAAATCAACTGGGGATTTTCCGTCGCTTCGATGAGGCGGGTGGTTGTTCAATGAGGCATGCCCAATTTTACGACCTTTCCGTCGCGGAATCACTTTAGTTACAAACTGAATCACGCGGTCGTTAATTGAATCTGGCTTCCCACCTTGGTTTAACTGGGTTGCCAAGTGCCCGAATTTTGATCATTGGGATCACGAGGACGCAGTGACAGTCGTAAGTCTGAGGACCAGTTGTAAATTACACACATAGAAACCAGGCCCAATAGCATTAACTGGGAGAAGGATCTCGGAGTCTTAGGGGACAACCAGCTAAATAGGAGCCAGCCATGTGCAGCGGCAGCCAAAAAAGCCAATGTGATCCTAAGTTGCATTAACAGAGGGATACAATCAAGATCAAGGGAAGTACTAATACCACTGTGTAAAGCCTTAGTAAGGTCACACCTAGAGTACTGCATCCAGTTTGGGTCACCACACTATAAAAAAGATGTTGAGACTCTGGAAAGAGTGCAGAGAAGAGCAACCAGGATGATGAGGGGACGGGAGGCTGAAACATACGATGAACGATAGCAGGAACTGGGCCTGGCTAGTCTAGGGAAGAGAAGGACCGGGGGAGACAGGAGAGCAGCCTTCTGATATTTGAGGGGCTGCTCCAGAGAGGAGGAGGAAGGGGGTCAAGCTATTCTCCAAGGCAGCCCAAGGCCAGACAAGGAACAGCAGATGGAAACTGAACAAGGAGAGACTCAACCTGGAAATAAGGAGAAATTTTCTGACTGTGAGAACAATCAACCCATGGAACAGAAGTCGCCTTCGGAAGTTGTAGGAGCTTCATCATCCCTGGAGGCTTTCAAGAAGAGACTGGACCGCCATCTGTCAGAAATTGTGTAGGGTCTCCTGCTTGGGCAGGGGTTAGGGTTAGACTAGATGACCTCCCAGATCCCTTCCAACTCTGCTAATCTGTGAAGCCTTTTCCAATGCCATTGTAACTTTGAACAGTCCCATAATGATAACGAAGAATTGCTGGTTCCCTCTTTAAGAGCGGGGTGTATACAGTGCCAGGGTTCAAGCCAGCTTTGTTTTACAGCTTTGCATTTTGGACAAACCCTTGATTAGTTTGTTCAGGGAGTCCTCAACTTACAACACACAACCTTTGTGGTGCTAAGTGCGACAGCCGTTAAGTAAGGTTTTTGGTCCCATTTTGCCACGCTTATTAAGTGAATCATTACAGTTAAGTTACTAACCTGGTTGTTAAATTGAATTTGGCTTCCCCATTGACTGGTCAGAAGGCTGCAAAAGGGGAACCGTGTGGCCTTGGGACCCTGCAACCGTCGTCAGGACATGCCAGTTGCCAAGCATCTGAATATTGATCGTGGGACCACAATTGTTAAGTGTGACAAGGGGGTCACAAGTTACTTTTTCAGTGCACTTGTAACTTCAAAGAGTCACTAAACAAACTATTGTAAGTCAAGGAATCCCTGTAGTTTTGCACACTGTGTAAAGGTAATGTATTATTTATGTAATCTATCTATCTATAAAAGCGAAGGGCCCCTCACGCACCATCACGAAATCTCCAGAATCGTAAATTTGGCACACATGTTCCTCTTGGCTTCTAGGTGCCCACTAAGAAAGGATTTCTCAAAATGACCATCATTAGTTATTTATTAGTTATTATTTGATATATTATTATTAGTTATTATTTGATATATTATATAGTTATTATTTGATATATTATTTGATATATTATTATTAGTTATTATTTGATATATTATATAGTTATTATTTGATATATTATTATTACTAACACGATCTGATGCTAAGGAGTTCTATTCCCCCTTCCCACCTGAAAAGAAATCTCTTCCAAATGCAAAACACAAGCAGAGGAGTTTCAGCAGTAAAGCAGCTTTAGTACAGAACAGTTGAGCTAAGCCACACCCAGGCTCCTGGCTGTCTCCTCCTTGCTCACACAGCAAATACTCTTTCAGTTTCCAGACAGCCCTCAACTCTCTCACACACTGACTGGACGCTAGTCAGATGAATACCAATGGATGCTGGTAGGCAGAATTTCCCCCTTATTGTCCTTCCCAAAAACTAAGTCCGACCACATAGTTTCGTAGCGAAGCACGGGGATCCAGCTAGTCACCACCTTATGCGGTAGTGCAATTAGGACACAATCGTTACAATAACCATGTTATACAAATTAAACTGGAAAATCAGAGAAAGCCGTAGCCTCAGCTGACCCTGTGAAGCCAGGAAGGAGAAATGAATGACTGAAGGAAGAGCAATGCGTTGAATTTTTTAAACAAAAGCATTATTTAAAATAACTTCATTTTCCAAAAGCATTTTAAAAGACATTTTATCCATGCCATGAATAATGTAGGCTACCAGTAACAAGTTCACAGCAGCTCTAATTGAAGGAATTTATTTGGATAAATCTTATTTTGGGTGTGGCTCACCATTTGAGCTTCTTAAAAAGCTACTATGCTAATATTGCAAGGAGATGAAGACTGAGTTACCTGCATGGGAAATATATATGTATGTATGTATGTGTATATATGTATATATATGTATATATATACACACACACATATATATAAGCAGTGGCTATGCCATTTCACCTCACTGGAACAATCAATAGCTTCTTTTTGCATCTGCAGATCATGTAAAATGCAAAGTTTTAATTGATCTTAATTAACTGACTTAATTGATCTTAATTAACCAAATTAACCCTCTTAACTCTTTGGCTGTGACTTGGCAGAATTGTGTTGAATAAAACATTTTGCAAATACAGGTAGTACCTTAACTTACAACAATTCATTTAGGGACTGTTCAAAGTTACAATGGCATTGAAAAATGTGACATAATCATGTTTATACTTAAACCTGTTATCTAATACTTGCTTGACAAATAAAATAAATAAAATAAAATAATTTTTTTTCACACCTCTGACCCCTGCATCCCCCTGGTTATGTGATCAACGTTCAGACCAGGGGTCCTCAAACTTGGCAACTTCAAGTCCAGGAATTCCTCAGCCAGCATCGCTAACAATTGCAGTGATTCACTTAACATCTGTGGCAAGAAAGGTCGTAAAACGGGCAAAACTCACTCGTTCAACAGCTGGCCTTGCTTAGCAGTAGAAATTTTGGGCTCAATTGCAGTTGTAAATAGAGGACTACCCGTATGAGTCAAACTTACAAAACTTCAAAAGGATTTATTGGAAGTTAACATGTCCGGCACTGAGAGATATAATTCATTGTCACCCTTGACCCTGGTTTTCCCTCCACCCCCTGGGCGTATCGTAATTCATATTCTCCAATGGGACACCTCCCTAGCCCAGAGTCATCCATCAGGCTCTCCTGGTAGAATTTTGCAAGGCAGAAACTTTGGACAACTAGAAACTATCTTTGAAAAACTATGTATGGAATGCAGTTTCAGTTCCCAAGCTGCCGTACGGCCGCCCTCTCCCTTTCTGTTGGCAACTTTAAAAAGACCAGAGGAATATTTTATGAGTTGACAATTAGCATCTTCCTGTGTGTGTTTTGGTTTGACCAGAAAAAAAAACCCAACGCTTCCCCTTGGAAATCCCACGTGGGGAGAGAATGAAATCAGCTCCTTGCAACACTCGCTAACGGTTTGTTGTCGTTGTTGTTGTTTATCTGTGGTGGTTGTTTATTTTGCTTATGTCTTGCAACTCAGTTGACATAACCTGCTTCATCCAGGTCAGATCAAGGTGCACCAGGTGTATTCCCACGGCACTCCGCTCCCAATTTCCTAGGGTTTAAGGTCTGCCACCTGTCATGCTCCTGTCGGAGTCTGACTCCGAGAAGGAAGGCAAACAGCTGACAGGAAGTGGGAGTGGGGCTTCGTTGGCTGTGGAGGAAACTGGGGAAGGGCAAAGTCCAGCTGGGCAGAGCAGGGGGAGGTAGAACAAGGGAGAGGTAGAACAAGGGAATTCAGAGGAAGACCCAGGCCCACCCCCTCCTCATCCTAGGGCATGCATGGAGGGATGGAGAAGGGAGCAATGTGGGTTGCATGGGTGGCTTACGGGGGAGGAAAGGGCACTGATTCCCTTCATTAGCTGCAGCTGGGAACACAGTGTTTAAAAAAGGCAAGCTGTGTGCAGCCAGTTGTTGGGAGCAAATGGTATTATCTGGTATTGTCGTGGCTTATCTGTGTTCCTGGTGTCTTCCCAACTGTGTGAGTTTTACTGTGCTGTCAAGATTGAAATTCTTGCTCCTGTCCTGCTAAACTAATAACTTCCGTTTGGCTTGATTGGACTTTAAGTTACAGTTTGTGTTCACCCTGTTTTGGACTGAATTTTCTGCAGTCAAGGAGAGTTTTTCTCCAGCCCAGAAGGTAACCTGGACATTGGGGGCAAAGTTGGAGATAATAAAGGGACTCTTGATTATTTGACTGTGTTGTCTTTGTGCCACGCCCCTTTGGGTCTCATCACACCACCTTCAACACTAAAAGAGCCATTTGGACCAGTGGTGGGATTTAAATATTTTTTACCACCGGTTTGGTGGGTATGGCTTGGTGGGCACGCTTTGCGCGCATGCCAAACGCACACTTTGCGCAGGCGCAGAGGCGTTCTAACTCGCCTCCTGCAAGCCTGCACGATCCCAGTTGGT